AAGGGATGGAGAAAGATATTTCATGAAAATGGAAACAAAACAAAACAGCTGGGGTAGGAATACTAATACCTGACAAAATAGACTTTAAAACAAAGACTGTAACAAGAGACAAAGAAGCACCCAGTAGTCCCACTTCTGGGTAAGAAAGAAACCCAAAATGCTACTTCGAAGGTGGCATGTGCATTTATATGTTCACTGCAGCATTGTTTACAATGGCCAAGATGTGGAGGCAGCCTGGGTATCCATTGATGGGTGAGTGAATAAAGAGGTGGTGGTATATATATATACAATGCGATATTACTCGGCATGGAAGGGAATGGGTTCTTGCCATCTATAACAGCATGGATGGACCTGGAGGGTATTGTGCTGAGTGGAGTGTCAGACAGAGAAAGACAGATGCAATGTGATTTTGCTTATATGTGGAATTTAAAGAACAAAATAAACAAAATAGAAACAAACTCATAAATACAGAAAACACTTTGATGGTTGTCATGTGGGAGGGGGTTTGGGGGTGTGGGTGAAAGAAGGGGAAGGGATTAAGAAGTACAAATTGGTTGTTACAAAGTAGTCATGGGGATGTAGAGTATAGCATAAAGAATATAAATAATATTGTAGCAACTATGTATGGTATCATGGGTAAATTTGTTGGGGTCATAGATGGGAAGAGGTTGGGGGGCAGGGTGAAAAGGCAAAGAGATTAAGAAGTACAAGTTGGTAGTTACAAAATAATCATGGGAATGTAAAGAAAATCATAGGGAATATAGTCAATAATATGGTAATAACTATGTGTAGTGCCAGGTGGGTACTAGACTAGTCAGCGTGATCACTTCTTAAATCATACAAATGTCTAACCATATGTTGTACACCTGGAATTAATATAAAATAATATTGAATATTAACTGTAATTGAAAAATTAAAAATAGGGGGGCAAGGTAAAGGGGAATAAGAGGTCCAAATTTCCAGGTATAAAACAAATAAGTCATGGGGATGTAATATACAGCATAGGGAATATAGTCCATAATATTGTGATAGCATGGTACAGTGTCAGATGGTTGCTGGACTTATCATGGTGATCACTTCTTTAGGTATATAAATATTGAATAATTATGGTTTACCCCTGACACTAATATAATATTGCATGTTAACCATATTTTTAATAAAAATCTTTAAAAAGGGGCTGGCCAAGTGGCTCATTTGGTTAAGAGTGCAAGCTCTGGGCCGGCCGAGTGGCGCAATGGTTAAGAACTTGCTTGGGATGCCAGAGGGCCCCGGTTCGGATCCCACATATGAGGGCCAGTGACACTGCCCT